CATAGGTCAGGGGGTGGTCAAATACGAATCTCATAGGCCAGGGGGGGGGGGTCAAAAACGCATCTGATGGGTTTTGAAAGAGTTGTGATAGGAAAGAAAACGAACTGCTGCATGAGAGGGAATAAAACAACCGTCATGTTCTGCTTACCCGTCGTTGTGTTACGTCTTGACTATAGTCTTATGATGTTGTCATGACACTGTCATGTTGTCATTACACTCTCATGTTGTCATTACATTTGAATGGTGTCATTACACTATCGTGTTGTCATTACACTATCATGTTGTCATTACACTGTCTGTTGTCATTACACTATCGTGTTGTCATTACACTATTGTGTTGTCATTACACTCTCATGTTGTCATTACATTTGAATGTTGTCATTACACTATCGTGTTGTCATTACACTATCATGTTGTCATTACACTGTCTGTTGTCATTACACTATCGTGTTGTCATTACACTATCATGTTGTCATTACACTATCATGTTGTCATTATTCTACCATGCTGTCATTACACAACCGTGTTGTCATGACACTATCATGTTGTCGTTACACTCTCATGTTGTCATTACATTATCATGTTGTCATTCCACTACCATGTTGTCATTACACTATGATATTGTCATGACACTATCATGTTGTCATGACACTATCATGTTGTCATGACACTATCATGTAGTCGTTACTTACAATACCGTGCCTCATTCACTACCATAGAATAAACTTGACATACACTATTAACTACCATAGATCAGATTTGACATGCACTATTTACCATACCATATGAACTACTTACAATACCATATAGACTAGACTTGACATCCGCCACAGACTTCCCCGTTTGTTGGTAGACACTGGTGTGTGTGGTTTTTTCTTTCTCCGTGGGCTTATGCTCGAGGACGTCACTCATTATTGAGCTAAAATGCAATACTCACCCTATGTTATAGGCGTGTGCTTATTATGGAGCTTCGCAGCGGAACTTTAAAAAATATATATATATAATTGTATTTAATTCACGCAATTCGCTGACTTCCAGTTGAAATTCAACAGATGAAAATCTTTAGAAATTGAATCAAAACCAATGTTCAAATAAATAAAAACAATATAAAAAGTAATGCTCCAAAAAAAGTAAATATTAAATTCACAAAGTAATTTAGAAAGTAAGAAAAAGAATGTTGTCCTTTATTTATGGTATATTTTAAAATAGGTTCATTGCTAAAGCCAACATTCGCAAACACCTCGCAATTATTTAACATGGCACCTTGCTTAGTTGGCCATTTATCTAACGTTAAAAAGTAACACTGAAACCGTTGTCAGATTAAAAGTAAAGGGAAAGTACCAAATAAAAATATTTACCATGTTTTAAGTGGGGTGCTGGTGAAATATGTAGTGTAACGGAGGAGTGGGGTGTTGGTGAAATATGTAGTGTAACGGCAGAGTGGGGTGCTGGTGAAATATGTAGGGTAACGTTGACCGTGCATTGCAAAGTCTAAATCTTTAATATGGGTGCTACCCCCCCCCCCCCCCCCCCCCCCCAATGAAATATAACACCACAGGTTGGATGTTAAAGGTTTTTCATGTACAAAAAAAAAAAAAAATCCATAAAAATCATCATAATCAATTTTATTAGTTGAACTTATTTTGGTGTTCATGCCCTTTTTCAAGAAATTTTCGACAAGTGACCGACCACCTCTCAAGAAACATGACTTAACATTGTTTTTTCATTCATCAAAAGACTATAAAAACTAAGCAACTAGCCCCCACTTTGTATAGTTTAATTCAATTAATAAAATAACGTGTGTGTAACTAATTTAAGCCGGGAAAACAGTTAAATTTCATTTATTTAACCGGGATAAGCAAGTGCCAGAAAAATAAAGGGAAAAAAATACAACTAAAATAACTAGCGTATTTTCCGGTGTATAAGGGGATCGTCCATTAATTACTTCAACAATTTTAAGTAATTTTGACCCCCCCCCCCCCTTGTCAACAACTGTCAAATCAAACTTTCAAGGACCCCCCCCCAAGGACGGATAAATTAATACAGTTTATTTTCTACCCCGACCCCCCCCCTTATTAATTATATTATAAATAAATTTGTAAATACATTTTACTTTGTGCTCATATATTATATGGCAATAAAATTGTAGGAAAAACATTTCATTACATCTTTAGCTTGTTAATCAACAAGTCTTAGTTTAAAAGTTTTACACTTAAATTTTATAATGCAGAATCAATTGAAAGGTTGTTAAAGACTAAATATCATTGTTTGTGGTATAAATATGATTATTGTGAGTAAAGCTGACAATTGTAGCATAGTTTCTATATGCTATCCTCTTCCCAAGGAGTAGCCAGGTTTGCTCTTTCGTAACAATGGGCATCAGGGTCATCATTAGGGTAGGCAGGTGGGCTTTTGCCCCCACCCCCTAATTTGCTGGTTTTATTTAAATTGCTATGTACTGTGGCCCCGCCGGTAATAAACAACTTAACAAGCCGACCAAGTTTTGGTTTTGCCCCCTCCCCCCCCCTGAAAAACCTCTGAAATGACGCCCCTGGGGCTTAGTCTATAGCAGCTGATTGATCATTTTCATCTTGCGGCACTGATATACCAGACAAGTCAACATCATCCTCATCTAACCATTCAGCACTTACAATAGAAGCATTGTTGGTGTGAGCAATAATTGCCATAAGCTTTCTTTATCTCTTTGCAACTACTCGCGTTGATCGAATCCCTTTTGTTGAGGAGTAGGTGCTAATTTCTTATGCTCGTTAGGGCATTGTCGGTTCTGTTGAACATGATTTTTCAACATGAATTGTGACACTAACATGATGCTATAGATTTTGCAAATCCTTTCAAGCAGCGATGTTATTATTTTTACTCACTTTAAATTCACCTAATTCTCGAAATACGGTATTCCTATTCTATCAATATCATTTATCTTGACTGCATATGACATTTGAACCTTGTCCTTGTTCCATACCTGCAAAAGAATCTACAAGTGAAGAGAGGCCAAAATTTGACTTCTCTTGTACTAACAAAGTGTGCTAACATTCTGAACAGCCATCTGCAGTGCACAGACACACATTAAATAAATCTTATATTGTTAAAAGTCTAAAAATTATATGACCATTTACACTCATTTACACTTATAAATTATTTAAAATAATGTAATAACCAGTCAATTTTTAAGATTAAAATTTTAATAGAGAAAACATGATTGTTGATGTAAACTGATCTAAACCCCCTGCCTACCCCTCTTGTCAACAACTGTCAAACATTTCCAAACCCTCCTCCCCCCCCCCCCAATTTGTTTAACGTAATTAATGGCCGCCCCCC